GCAGTGCGTCCTGTCCCTGTCTCTGTGTTTGGGTGTTAGGTAGGTCGCGCAGTGCGTGCTGTCCCTGTTTCTGAGTTGTGCGGGTGTCAGGTAGGTCACGCAGTGCGTGATGTCCCTGTCTCTGTGTTGTGCGGGTGTTAGGTAGGTCGCCCAGTGCGTGCTGTCCCTGTCTCCATGCGTCACTAGGGCTAATTCAGGCTTCATCATTGCCAGTTTTATGATATTTGGGTATATCGTGGTATTTTAGCTATACTGTGATGTTTTGGATTGCTTTTGGAAGTGCTCAAAATATCGTCTACCAGAATGTAATGTCTGGAAGCTACGATGGTATTAAAAATTTGCAAGCCTAAGCTAAACTCTTATTGGTGTGGGGGGGGGGGGGTCCAATTTTAAACACGCTGTGTAAACTAGTTAGTGTACATTAATTTGTAAAGGGGTAGCGGCTAACGCCTCCCTAAAAGGGCTTTGCCCCTGTTTCCATACTCTTTAGTGTATATAATGTAGTCCTGTATGGATTTTAATGAGTGTTTTAGTCCATAACCACATGGTGAATGAGGCCACAATCTTTCCGTGCTGTAGGATCGGTGGACTTCACCACGTGAGGGCCTGCAGTCGCCTCTGTCTGCTCACATTCTCTCTCTCTCTCTCTCTCTTTCTCTCTCTCTCTCTCTCTCTTTCTCTCTCTCTCTCATTATTTGAATGGCCGGCTTTCCTGTATGAGGGATGTAATGGGGAATTTAACTGTGTAAAAAGGGCCTTTTATGGGTCCATTAGCCATCGCCGCCCCTTTGGACAGTTTGTTTTCTTGGCTTCCCAGGTTTTATGGGCTGACTTCTTAAATTAGCTCCGGGTGGGGCTGCGTGTTTGGGGGGGGGGGCTTTGTGGGCTGAGCTGGAGAGAGGGGTCAGCCAGAGGGCCAGACAAAGAGAGGGAAGTCCAGGTTCAGCCAAATCACTGGGCCTGCGGTGGACGGGGGAGGGCAAAGTCAGCCAAAGGCCAGAGGGGAAGGCCGGGCATCCCCACGGAGAAGGGGCATGACGGGCAACAGACGGACTGACAGCCCTCGCTGCAAGCAGAGCTTTGTGTCCCACTGGACGCCTCTCGGGGTCTCTGTGATGGCGCCGATGGCCAGGGGTTCGATGCTTGTCCGGTCACGAAAGGTGAACAGGCAGACCGATGTGTCGCCTCGGAAAATGGATCAGGCACCGTGGTTGATGGTGAAAATAGCGTGAAAATGAAAGCAAATTGAATATCGATGAAGATGCCTTGCTGGGATGGAGTGTGGGGGGGGGGATGTTTGTTTACCGTCAGGCCTGCCCGTTCTTTAGGAGTTTGGTGGAATGGGGGGGGGGGGCATTTGGTGCCTCAGACATCCTCTCAAGGACGTCACTGTGAAATGTCCGTGAAGGGGGGGGGGGGCATTGGGGTGTCTCCTAAATGAAGCGGGGACACAGATGGTAGGGGCACTGGGGGGGCATGGTAGGGGCACTGGGGGGGTGTGGTAGGTGCCCTGACCACAGCATCTCCAAGGCTTATTGATCTGTGAGTGAGTGGCGATGAGGATGACACAGATGTCCTGGGATGGAGCATAATTGTGATTGATACCAAATTGATGTCTTCCCTGCAGTGCCAATTTGGAGAACTGGGAGCATAAATCTGGGTGTGTGTGTGTGGGTGTGTGTGTGTGCGTGTGTGTGTCCATGTTTTGCTAGCTTTTTTGGGACATTTTACACTGTGATTGCTATTTATAACATCAATTAGTTTTTGTTAATTTTATTTTAATTTGTACTTCTTTCATTTGGGATTTTGAATAAATTGCATTAAAGTGAGACTACAATGGACCATCCCTGTGTGTGAGAGAGAGAGAGAGAGAGAGAGAGAGAGAGAGAGAGAATGCACTGGCAAAATACAAAAGTCACTTTAGTCTGTCTGCCACTGAATCTGCACTGAATCTCCTTTTGTTCTTACCCTGACAGATCCATACTTAGTTAATCTTAATGAGTCATTCATGTCGGCCAAGCAGGAGTCAGACCTTGCTGGGCTGCTGGTCGCTTGGCTGCTAGTGTGGGGGGGTCTTGAACCTCAGACACTAAAACCATCCACTGTATACATCAGGCTACACTGAGATCTTCTCTATCAAAGCTGATTCCTCTGAGAAATGGTCCATCGGCTGCTTGGAGTTATAGAATTTTCTAGAAGGGTTGACTGTGGGCACCGCCGATGCCCCTCAGAGCATTTGCATTTTGTCTCAGATGCTCTGGCCCCAGAGAGGGACTTGCTGTACGGCATATGGCGCTTTTAACATGCTCCTATAATTTAGCACTGCATCATTTTATGAATGTATTATTTTTAAATAGATTGTGTGCAGCAGCTGTAAGATGGAGAGGGTTCTATCCTATGAGAAGACTTGTTCAAAAACACACCGTTACGACAGTTCCTCCAGCAGATGCCTCCTGTTTCTTTGAAGGGTTATTCATGATTTGGCTCTGCGCCTTCCATGTTCTTATTCTCCAGAACAGCGTTTCTCAACCCAGTCCTCGTGGTTCCCCATACAGTCCACATGTTTGCTCCCTCCCAGCTCCAAACACACCAGTACCGGGTATTCAGTGTTCTTGATTGTTTGGTTCAGTTGTGCTGGGAGCTGGGAGGAAGCAAAAATGTGGACTGTATGGGGAACCACGAGGACTGGGTTGGGAAGCACTGGTCTGCAAGCTTGCTGCTTGTTTCTAGGTAAAAGCCACAAGTCTGCCACAAGCTAATTGGTAACTGCATACTGAAAGCAGTTAAAACTCGCACAAAACTGCACATTTAATAGTCTGATTAGTCTTAGCTTGAGTTGCGCGATAAATGTCCAAACTGTCATATCACAGTATTTTTGCTTAGAATTATGACCCATGATATATATATCACAATTTTTTTTGCTTCTTTACAAACCAGCCAAACTATAATGTATGTATCAATGTTAACTATTTGACCACTTAACCAACCATTCTGTCCTTATAGGAAACATTCCTTGTAACTTTCTTATAATAAACTTAAGGTACGTAATATACTGCACATAAAGAATGACTTTGGAAATGATATTTTTAGCAGTCCAACTGGTATATGCAGTTTCTCTTTTTGTTTTTTTTAGTTAAGTGGTTAGAAAAGATTGATTTAAATTTTTAGTTCAAGATCAAGTTACTAAAATGAGACTGACAGACAGATAATTGACGAAGAAGTGAGATACGCAGACAGCACTGAGAAGTCATGCCGGATGAAACGTCTTTGTTTCACATGCGTCTGTCTGTTGTCATACTGTTGCACCCTCTGAATTTTCAGCTGTTGCTTGATCGTCCGTTTGTTCTGTCATTATAATAAGAGTTAAGTAGTTATGTACGTGGATACAGTAGCAACCAGTCATGAGAAATTGTCGTTATATCACCCACCCCTAGTCTATGCTAAACCTTTGTTTAGGGTGGTTGCAAATCAGGAATTGTTCCCGCTACTGACCATTGTGTCTCTTGACTGGAATGTCTTGCCATTATCATTATTGAAAGTGTGCTTGATTTGAGTACTAAATGAGCAGAATGTAAGGCGTGAAGCACAGCCTCACTCGTCGCTCTCTCCTTAATTAAGCCATCGTTTCTACTGATGTTTTTTTTTCTTTAAATCTCTGGTCCATTTCCACTTCATCGGTTCTGCGTTTCACAGCCACATTGTGCCTGCCGTTTACCCTGCGGGTGAGGAGGAGAAGTTCATCTCGGGCCGGTGACAGATTGTTCATTGAGATGCTTAGTCTGCTGATGTCCTCTTCGGATTTTCTGCTCTGTGTTTGAAACTTATCCTCTCGTTTTGCTAGTGAGATATAAAGGATGAAGGGTGATCAGTCACAATCCTGATCAAACTGGGAACTTCAGAAACATTAAGAAAACAATGAGCCCCAGTCATCTTATTCCACTATTATGCAAGATGGGAACCAATGAAAAATAAAATTTTACTGAAAAAGGAAACTTTTTGCCTGAAAGGTTCAGTTCTGGGAGTCAGGGTCCCCCCCCCCCTGACCTGCTCTCCTGAGGAGATCAGAACTGTTTAATTTTTCAGTAAGTAAATAAAGACCCGGCAGTGATCATATATAGATCTGGGCTGTTTTTCCCCAGCTTTTG